GCTTAGCTAGAAGTAGCGTATACCAGTGATAATAAGTGTAACTTCATGAACAAGACATTAAACACATAAGCCTGCTCAGCAGCCGCTATGCACAGAGACACGGCTTTCGCTTAGGCTAGTTCTGTCCGCTATCCTCGAGAGTACAGCGAAACAGCAGTTGTCCAATCGTCTCCTTGTGATTCTGTGCACACCTGATTAAGCTTCCGACTTACACTCACCTTGTAAGTCACTCAGAAAAACCACTGACTTCATTTTCACCAATGGTTCAGAGCCAACAATTTTCACTCAAAGGAACAGAAGTTTTCAAAGGCCTTACTACCTCATAAGCACAAACCATAGTTGTACACACAGAAATGGTCATGAGTAATCACACGAATGCCACAGTTTATTTACACATACAATTTTCGTGAAATTCCCCGATGAATTATGAACATACCTATTCCGCTTTAGGGTTCTATCTTGTTCCCAAAGTTTCACAGATGAAAAAAGTCACAAGGTAGAATGACTAAGCAATCTGTTATTTTCATTTCGTTGTTTAATCTAGAAACAACTGCTCTAAAAGCAACAGAAGCTACAGAAACGAATGTTTTTAGAGACGATAGAAGCCTTATATGAAAGATTGATAGTGCATTCGAGGTACCAACTTTGAATGCAAAGTCACTTAGAGAGGTGAGCTAGTTGTTTATAGGAGGTTTTGGCGGTCCATTGGTCATCTAAACCTTCTGCCCCATGTGTGAGCATCCTGGATGTTTTCACAATGTATATGTTTCATATGTTTCCGTCCTCTTGCCTCAACCACCGCAGAGTTTTGAATGATAATTCAGCAGTGTAAATTGAGCACAACTGTAGGAACCCGATGCCGTACAAAGTTATTTATCTAAGAGCTGCTGTGAGAAAGACGAACAAAATGTTTCAGTAGTCAGCTAATGGATGCTGATTAATGTATTATGCCGTCCCTTCTAAACCGTGACGTTGAGAGCAAGTTTAATTTCCAAAATCTATCACCCGAAGGTTAATGTTGAAGCACTTTGTCCTCCTTGTCTGGATGTAACATGCCACTCATAAGGTAGCTCAAGTCTCTTCGACAGTCCGTGGTCGGTCTTGCTCTTCTTGGGGTTCATCAGATGGATGCATTCCCCGGGGTTCCGTCAATCTTGTGCTGTACCTGAACGCCGATCGTGCATACTTCGACACACTTATTTGCATCATAAACAAGAAGTTAAACTGGATTCGGTTGAGCCTCCTGTAAAAATCGAATTCGTGTGCAAATGCGTATAGTTGTCGAAATCTGTCTAATTTGAGTTCAAGTAGAACATAGGACCGACGGAAACTCGGGGACTCCGCCCATCTGATGACACTCAAGAAGGGCAAAACCGGTCGCGGGCTGTCGGAGAGTTTTCAGCAACCTAATGAGTGACTTGTTAGTTCAAGGCAACGACATACTGTGATATTGCAAATATTGTACCTACCGACGTATGGGGTGGCCTGGTGCAGCATGTTAAATCGAAGTGGCCGTCATAAATAAGATTCAGTCCAGTCTCTTGTCAAAACCAAATTCTTTCACAAGTGGAGGGATCTGCCGGCAAATTCAATCGCTTTCAAGATCTTTTGAGGTGATAAGAGCTTATTATAGACGCCCTGTCACAAACTTTATATCGTTTGATGTTTCCATAATGATATGAAAGAAATACAGTGGTCAATATTTGTTTGGTTTCCCGTCTATTTCTGTTCAATCCATTGTCCCTAATCGTTTCAAAAAGTGGCCGTTATTATCCAGTACATATTGCTTTGCTTTTTTCACTCTCCGTGAAGCCGTGAAGCATCAGTGCCAGCACTGATGTTGCTGTCTTTGATGATGATGACGATGATGCACTCTGCGTATTGGAGCTTGGATCAAAATATGCCTTCATCGTACCCACTACAAAGTGAAACGGCCTAGCTACGAGTTGAAGCCACTGTCAGTTTGTCGAATGTTCTGACCACTGTTGACAACTTACAGAGGCGGATAATGATGTAACGCGTCACCCCAGAAGTGTTTGTGAAAATATCCCCACTGTTAGTTCGAATGTGCGGTCTATATCTGACAACGTATACATAAACTAGGCACACAATCTGCCCCGTGATTCATGAGTATCGGTTCGCAAATAACGAATCGCCCGTTTTATTGTTGAAGGTGTGTATCTACACCGGATGAACAGTCGTGAATGCTGCAATACCGTGTTTAACTTACAATGTGAAAGATAGTTTCAACTACCCGGACTCTAAACGTGAGACGTGGAAAACCTCATTGTATGGAGCGGTCCACACCAGTGATAACTTACCACATGAGGCACAAAGAATCACCACACTTCCGTATTACAAGAGAGACCCAGAAATTAATTTATATCTATTGTGGTTTGTTTCTAATCGCAGGCGGTGAATACCTTGGAACAAGTGTTTCTTTTAAATACTAAGATATATGTCTCTCCTGTTTGAGTGTCTTTCCGAGGATCAAATCACTGGACAGTAAGGTGAAAGAACAACAACCGACTTTTTCAGTTCAACGTATACTACTTTATATTCACAATCAAATACGGTTTGTGAATGGTACTAAGCCGAGAATAACCTAGACTCATCTCTCCTTATAAATGCACCCGTGGGAAATACCAATAGTATTCTTTGTATGGGATTGCCCTTGTATTGTGGGAGCTTATTTTCTTACGAACTGATCATTGGTCTTGCTTTATTTTGGGTGTTCCCATATGCGCGATTGTTCCGTTATTCTCAGCGGGCTTCCAAATAAATGCAATCTGTCTACACACCACACTTTTCCACAGGCACTGCGTCAAAAACGATTCGGTATTAGGGCTCTCGTTATATCCGTCCCATTCTCGGTAAGTGTTTTGAAGGAACAATTAGCGTAAAATTGACGCTTTTTAATCAGCCCAATCAGGAGTGTAAGATGAGTTCAGACCATAAAAATTGATTTGTCTTTTTCCTTTGCCTAAGTTGGTGACACTTTATTTCTAGGCGAAATAAAATCTTGGCTTTTTGCTACATGCTATTGGAGTACGATCGCGAAGTAACCAATAGCACACGCTTAGAGTGACGCCTGTTACAACAGTGGTAGTTTTCCGCTGTAATGTGTCATTCTAACAAACTTTCATCAGGAGCGACGGTCAGTTTAACTCAGCTGATTGGAACTGATTAGAGTTTTTCGCATATTCGGGGACAGCCAATATCAGAGCACGCTTGAAACAAATGTATTAAGGTCACGCACCCATATCTGTCTCTGAACACATGCTGGGGCAAATAGGTCGTTAGATAGCGCTGATTACACTGGTCATAAAAGTCACGTTTTAACAAGCACAGCTTTCATGTCACTCGGTGTTTTGCTGACGTACAGCTTCGCTAAGTAACTAGGCGGTTGCGACCCAACTAAACCGCACCCACACTATGTGCAATTATGTTTACTCACCTCATCACTTCCTACCAATGGCCACTAAAATCCCTTTGATCTTGTTCAACTAAAGACGGTGCAACTATGATGGCATACATTGATTGACGACGACAGAATACATTCACCATGGTCATGCTAGGTTCCAGCGTCTTGAGAAAGGCCACCATATTCCATGCTGAACTGAACTGGTGGACGCTGAACTGTGCGGGCAAATGATAATTCCCAGGCCGAGGAAGGAGGTTTGGTTTAATTACCCCACCTTGATCCTTTGACTCAAAAGTCTGACCCACCAAGCAGTGGGAGGACTAAGGTTTTCTTTGGGGATCCTGCCCGGAGCCGACGACTCAACACTCCGACCTCCTCGGCTGCAGGGACTTGCCCCAACCCGAGGGCGCAGGGAAAAAGGCATTACTGTCTCATTCCTGATGCGGCTGCGCATAGCAGATGCCTTTTGAGCAGCACCGTGCTCTTTGGTTTTAAAAGTATTTCGACCGTATTGGATAATGCGCTGGCGGTCACGGTCAACCGTTGGGAGATCGGAGTGTGTGGCTTTTGGGGCCGACCTTTTCTAACCCATCCTTCCTCGGGGGAAGGCAGCATCGCTACTTCCATAAATATGGACATGCTGGTCGCCTGGGGGAAACACCTCACTGTCTTAACACTCCTGTCGCAGAGGACAGTACGACTTTACCCGCAGACCACCTCGTAGCACGATTACTCATAGCACGGAGTCTCGCTGCTCTTGGTCTGGCCGCTCCACCTTGACCTTCCTGGCATGGTTGCACACTATGGGACGAATTTCCAGCCAGTGTAGCCCGCGGGATCATTACAACCCTAGAGCCCGACAACCACGTCAAGGTGGCAGCTTTAGGTCGAGCCACTTGTAGGACGCTGGTATTGGAACTTCAGGATTTGAAGTCATCAGCAAGAAGTAGACATAGACTTTCAAGAATATCTGGAAGGATGTTGCCGTACATCAGGAATAGAAACGGTCCCAAAACGTAGTAGTAGTAGTAGATGTGCTGGTCATAATCGGGTTGCAAAGGAACTTGCAAAACGTCTCCGTCGACTGGGGTACACCGTCCTCGAGGAGTTGAGAGCCCCTACTTCTACGTCGTTCATCAAACCTGACCTAATCGCTATTCGAGATCGCCGTGCAACCGTAATAGACGTCAGCATAGTCTCGGATGGGCGTGGAGTGATAGTGTGGAATGAGGAGAAGCAGAAGTATGGTGCTGATGAACATTCCCTCGCCATAATCTCAGCCCTACATGCCATCGGCTGTGATATCGACTTTTTCGTTCATAAGGCTGTTATTGGACTGGGATTTCCTAAGGTCGCAGTCAGTGACTTGTGTTTGCTTGCCAATGTGGGCTCTCTGCGTACTTATCACACTTATGCGTGGCACATGGCGTCGAAGGTACATTCTTGCCATTTAATCTCACACCAGACCCGGTATGACGGACACTTTGTGCCTGATGTGCGAGTCTTGACTGTGCTAGCGCACACTGCGCCTTGAAAAGCATTCACCATTTTTTGTCCTTTCTTTGGTTGTTGGTCCTTAGACGCGTGTTCCCATTCCAAAATCTTTACATACTTTGGGATTCACTTCATCAGACTGGCACTGTCCTTGGCATGATTTCGAATGAGACGTTTCTCTCTTTTCTCCCATATTCTCCTGTTACTCTTTCGCATTCATCGCTTGCACTCACTTTTTATGTTTGTGACCATACTCTTCAAAATTAAATGATAATAGGGAGGAGGATTACTACAGAAGCAAGACTTGAACCCATGATCTGAATTAATACGACTTTTTCATCTAAACATTTAGCAGGCGTTCACTGTCAGGATGGGTTCTACTGCTGTTTTCTTAACAGACAACAGATGTGTTTTGTAATCATTCCGTCCCTTCTTGAATATCTCGGAACATAATTTGGAGTTATACCCCTGGGTGTATTGGTCCTTTCTTCCTGTACGATCTAAAGAGCTTCTCTGGTAACTTCTTTATTTCAGCTGGGTGAACTTTATATGGATCCCGAACCTAATTATTTCCACAAAGCATCAGATATTTTTATGAACAAATTGTTCGCTGAGTTCAATAATTCCACTGCTGTAGTTTTATCAACAAACTGACGTCATCGGTTAAGGCTTTTCGCAGTGCACTGAGCCCCCTTGCTGTGCGATGGAACATTTGTGACGAAGATACCAAGATCGACAGACAACTTGACCATCAACCACACACAATATTTGGTACCAACTGTTTCTTTTTTGTTCAAAATCCCATTTCAACTTTTAGTATCCGCACAAGCCAAATATATCCACTCTCTAAGGAACAGATTGTACGGATCACTCTTATTTTTAAACGGAAACACTCGCTTAGATGGTCAAAATGAAACGAGCCGGTTCAGACAGTTTGTTACAACACATGCAGGTGGATTGCATTTTTTCCTTGCGTCCAATTTGGGAACACACTGTATGCTCCTTAAAATATTTCCTACCCCAACCACAGATGTCCCTATAACCTCTGTTCATTTATCGTAAAAGTACATGCTTTCAGCTAATGAATCTGAATACGTTGCCATGAAAGAACGCGTTTTAGGACGCCAGATCTGTGGCATAACATCACCCCAACTAGTGTACGGCTTTAAAGACAAACTTGTGCTGTGATTGTCACAAAGAATGAAACTATGTGAGTCCGTAACGTTGAAAAACTGTCATTCAGTCTTCCAATCATTTTTGTATATCGTTGGCATTAGGTAGGTGGTTATGATTTGGAAAGGCCTCTCTCAGTTTCAATGTAAATTTCGCTTGGCAAGACTATATTTGGATGAATAAACGAGAAAACTCCTACAATAAAACTCTTAGGTCCTTAGATGGACATGGATATGAATGTGCACAGCCGGACGCATAATTTTTCGCATACCAGACCCCACACCATATAGATAAAGTGTTTACATTGTATCAGAAAGTTCGGTTCTTTATCTAACGTGTGTGTGGTAGACTAGTCTCGCCGCCGTCCATGGAGGTACCGCCGTCTTAAGCGGTTCGCCACTGAAAACTCCTGATTTGGACCACCAGGTTGTGCGATTGTTTCCAGTGCTTTCTCGAATATATTTTGTATGTAGCCCATCATGTTGTAACGTTCTAAACCCTGATTTAGTATACTTTATTTTCGTTTATTTTATGTATGTATCCGCACACGTTCCTCCCACATGACTGTACAAAGGTGTGAGTGGTGACCTTCTGTGGTCATTACTGCACAGAAGAAGCTGAATAGGGACTAGCATTGGCTCACCATATGTGCGTGTCTTAACTGAGCATTCTGAGCAACTTGGTCCACCTGATTAGGTTTCGCACACAGTGTGGGCCTAGATTGCTCAGCTGTCCTCACTTGACAATACTGAACATGTTGATTGTTCTAGGGGGCTACATCCTCCTATTCACCCAACACTCTTATTCCCTAGTACTTACAAGGGACACGTGACATAAAGATGTTTGCACAGTTGATCAAGCGTCAACCTCATCTTGGGTTGGCCACCGTGCACGTGGGCCATCAGTGGTTTTATGGGACAGGCAAATCCGAAAACGGACGCCGGCTTATCATATGCTACTCTCAGGAGCATTTTCACTTCTAAGGCTTGTGGTAGTGAGTGATTCAATTTTACATTAAAACTACGCCACAGTTACTGATGGGGAACAAGTAAAAATGGTCGCTACAGACAGTTATAGCCATCTGTATGCTCATTCATTTCTACGCAGTGTCATATGGTCATAAAGTTCATTCTAACGTTCACACTAACGTTCATTCTGTTGTTTCTGTCAGCATGACCCCACGCTTCTTAAAAAGATTAAAAACTGCCCGGAACAGTGTCATGCTGTTTACAGAATCGTTTGACCGCCTCAGTTGAAACGGCCGCTTCATGTTGTCAAGACAGGGATCCCGGGACAGCAATTCAGACTTCTACTGCCACAATGAATTGCAAGAACGCTCAGGTGGGCCCGAATGTTAATTCGTTTCAGGCACGTCAATCATTTGATTATCATCCTCGTGATGTCCTTAAATTTTGGAGATCAAATAAAGTCCATTCAATGCAGGTCACAATGGGGTGCAATTTCACAGTGAGGTTGTCCAGTACGACCAATTGCCCAGCTACCATCAGCGCATCAATAGTTTGTGCGCCACTATATCTTTTCCCATGAGGGAAATTTTAGGCCTCTCCGGAAGGAGTTGACAAATTTTGGGGGCAACGTATAGGATTCAGTAGCGGTGAATCAAGTCATGACAAAGTTGCTCCTAGAATTTATGGTCTTCCACTGATGAATTGGTAAACAAAATAATCTAGTTTCAGGCATAAATGTCAACCACCTTTCAGAGAAAGTTGTTTAACCCTTCCCTAGTTTGGACTCGTTTAGTGAACTCTTAATATCAGAATCTCCATTAGTATTTAGCTTCGCGTTAAGGTGAACGATATCGTTGTGAAATCGATATCGACCAGCACATTAAAACTCAGGATTTCACCTAATCATCCAAAATTCACCCTCAAAGCAATAACCATACACGAATGAGACTAGGGTTTATTCCAAACCTTACATTGACGATGTTGTGTAGCGCAGTGCTCACAGTTACTCACTTCTTAGGGAAACGTATCCCAGATGTCTCGACTGTACAGTGGCTCAAAAGAGCACACATGTTTACACTAATTGTACCCACTTCGAACGAATGCTTTTATTTTCTAATAGCGTTTGATCACCAGTATTTCGGTGCACAGTAGGAGTTGGCTGGCTGTTGTGTGCTCGCAACACATTGGTGATAATCGATTACTTGCAAGACTCCACATCGATACAGTAGCAAATGTGGCTTAGGGGTTAAGATGGCAGACATATATATCTAGTATTAATCCTTGCTGGAGAAATTCCTCGAGTGGCATGACACGATAAGGAAACGCAAAATGAAAGCCGATACAGTCGAACTAAGCCCCGTTCTTACTAGGCTGGGTCCCATGTGATTCTGCCCGCAGGTAACTACAGACCTCAAACACAACAGCACAAGTGATATTATTGGAAAAAAGTCCTGGACCGACCACCAAGGGAAGTTTGTTTGTCATTGTGTGCTGGGAATATACTGGATGATATTCACCACCAACGTTGAATCAATTCTGCGGATCGTTTCTTACTCGAATGAGGTGATGAATTTATGGCTAACTCGATAGATCTTTCAGGGTGTGGACGCCTTCGGCTTGGTTGTCCTTCCACAAGGCCTTTTAAACTAGCTCCTCACTCTCCAGGTTTCATTCTGATCTACTGTGACTTCGTTTCCGCCCCGTTGTATAGCTCTGGAAAACTGATCTTTGCCACTGGTGTGCAGGTATGTATAAGCATTCTGTATCAAATGGCACATAAGACACCGGTCAGAAGAACGACGAACGGTAGTTGATGATACTCAGGTGCAGTATAGTAACTTATATCTGGGCTAAGGGAGCGAAATCTTCGAAAGGAGGAATTCCAATTCTATCCCTTCAAAATGTAACAGTTAGCTGGGCGCTCACCAAGTAGTATCCTAGATTCCAGTCTGTATTTGCTGTGTTGGCATTAAAACCTGTTGAGCAGTTTCGAAGATCTCCGTTTGTAGAATGGGGTCTCAAGTGCATGTCATTCAAAACTGTCCCTCGACTCCGGAAAAATGTGTCCTCATTCACGGAGTCCGTAGTCTTTCTTCGAAGTATAATCTCTCGTAAGTCAGATAAATAGTGGACTCTGCAGATCTAGAAACCCCAATTGAAATCCTACATGGCACATTTTTTTTCTGGGTTCTACTGGGGGGTAACCGCTCTTCGGAGGATCT